GGGAAAGAGCACACGGGTGAGAGACCTTAGATATCAAGGCCTTGCGCTGACAAGGCCGGGCCCTGTATAAAGAGGGCTTGGCAGTAGATTGGAGTCAGAGCCTCTCACAGATGCTCTGAGGGCAAGAGCACCTGCAGGAGCCCTAGGCTGCAAGCTGACTCTGAGTGCTCCTAACGGTTCCACACACTTGATTTGTGTAACCCACAGCCAACAGCAGACCCTGGCCCTGGGCCTGTTCTCACACCAAGTCTCTGCCACTCAGTCAATGGCCCCACTATCTGCCCAGGTGTCCAGGCCCAAACCCCAGGGCTGTCTGATTTCTCTCCATCTCTCATCCCCACATTCAAACAATCATCACATCATGTTGTCTCTGCTTGCAAAATATATCCTGAGTTTGGTTACTTCCCACCACTTCTGTCGCTTTCTCCTGGTTCAGGTCACCGTCACTTCCTGCCTAGAGCTGCTCTAGTTTCTCGGGCCTCCCAGCCATGATCTTGGCCTCTCTTTAGACTTTTCTCCATGTGGAAGCCAGAGAGGCCTAACTACCCCCTCACTCAATGTTCTCCACGGTTTCTCACTGCTCTTGGAATAAAATCCTTTAGACCTACAGGGTCTGGCCTCATCTGCCACCTTGCTCACCCAGCCACACAGGACTTTTTCTCTCCCTCAAACACAGTAATTTCCTTCCTACCTCAGGGCCCTTCCACTCACTGCCCCTCATACCACTTGCTTCTTCATTCACATTTCTACTTAAGGATTACCTCTTTAGAAAGGTCCTCCTGATCAGTCCCCTCACTGTCACGCTTTATCTTGCTAAATTTGTCTTCATGACATTTGTTTCCACCTGAAATGGGTTATTTACTTTCGTGGTGTATCTTACTAATTGGGATTAAGATCCCAAAAGGCAGTGACCATATGTCTGGTTTATAGCTGTATTCCCAAGTCTCAGCCCAGGTCCTGGTACACAGTAGGTGCTCAGTGAATAATTATAACAATTTCTTAAGGAATGAATGCAGGAAGGTGATTGTGGCTGCACCCTTTAAGGGAAACCTTGTTGGTGAGTACTGGTGCTCATTAAAATGGAGAGAATGAGGGATTTGAGTCAGAGAGAAAGGCACACCAGGGCACAGCAGGCTGTTATAATGGTGTTGGGGTTGAGCAGCTTTGAGACTGGGAAGCTAAGGAGGCCTGCATCTGTCAAGAGGAAGGAGTAGAAATGGAGGTGAGCAGGACAGGCCCAGTTCTGCGAGATTCATCATAGCTACTGATGGCTATGCATCCACTACGTGTAGCAGAGAAAGTTCCCAACAACTCTGGGAGGCAGGGACAATTATTATGCCCATTTCACTGATGAGGACTCATGGTTGAAGCTTAGAGAGCTCGAATGCTATGCCCAGAGTCACACAGCTATCAAGCAGTAGAGTGGGGCTCAAATGTTTGACTCTAGTCCTGGGTTCCTTTAGTACCCCGTATGTTTATCCAGGCTGTGCTCTGGGTACCCATGTTATAGATGAGACCAGAGTGGTCTAGAAATTTCCCCAAGGTTGGTGGCAGAGACAGGGTTTAAATGCAGAAACTTTTATTCCCAAGCTCTCACTTTTAATTACCCTGCTATGCCACCTCCCCAAATTACCCCTTATGTTAGCTCCCCCATTCATCTTTGTATTGGGCCTTACATTTCCTCCTTCCAATCTTCCTTCTTTCCCTCTTCCCAGACCTTGAACCTCTATTCCCCAGCTCTGACTTCTGACCCAGAGCTCTATAAAGAATCTCAGGGCCAGGGATGTAGTTTAGGGTCTTACCTGCCTTCTTGTTGCTGCTGGAAGTTCCTGCTGCCGATTAGCCAGCCCACCATCCCTGGGGCCATCTGCCACGAGGCGTTTATACTGTCCAGGAGGCGGATGTTCTGAATTCGGCCCTCTGCATTGTGCTTCATGAGACCCTGGGCAATAACTGGAAATGGACAAGGGACCAGTGACTTTGTACAATGTCGTGGAAAAGGTGGGGGTTTGGATTCAGGAAGCCTGTGTTGCAGCTGGTTTATATTGAGTGCTTGGTGCATATCGTTCCACTGCCCCCAACACTGAGATACACATACTTCATGTGGTAAGGCAGTAACAACACCCATCTCATAGAATTCTTGTGAGGATTACTGAGAACATTCATCCAAAGAATATTTATTAAATATCTACTGGTTGTCAACACAGAAACCAACTTTCTGTTTAGTAGGAGAGACATACATGAACTAAATAGTTTCAAAGATAGAGTGAAACTATAAATATGCCTAGAACTCTTAGTAATTCTTGGTAAATAATGGTAGTAGCACTTGAGAATTTGTGAGCAGCAGACTCTAGTATTCGACAGTCTGATATCTATCCATCCATCCATCCATTCATCCATCCACCTCCCCATTTCGTCCACTCATCCATTCATCCATTCCTTCATCTACCCTCCCATTCATCTACTCATTCATTCATCCTCCCATCCTTCCTTTTATTCATCCATTCTCTCATTCCCATATGAACCCTTTTCTGATTCAGGCACTATCTCCAATTCCTGGTCCAGATGAAGCTGTTGATTATCTGACCCATCATTGCATAGTGACTCTTTCAGTTTCAAAGTTGGCACGTAATTCAAGTTGGTCCCATCAGATTAAAAAGAAGATCTTATGTTTTATGTTTGTGGAGGTTTCTTTCTCTTTCCTTTACCAGAAAGGAGCAAGACATCCTGTAGCTTCAATGGCCATTGGCTACCATTTTCTTACCATACTGAAACCAGCAGCCTGAGAAGGAAACTATGATGATAGCAGAGCTAAAAAATAGACAAAATCTAGTTCTGGATGGCAACTTTGAGCTGCTAATTGAACCAAACCTGGAACTTGCTCTACCTATGACTTTCAGTTATGTGGAATGGCTTGAGTTGGGTTTTCTGTTACTTGCAGCTAAGCACCCTAATTGATACATGAAATATAATTGTAGGGATAAACATATTCACAGTGGGAAAAGCTATTAGAAAAAATGCAAAATCCAGGGTAAGGACAAGGGGGCTTAAAACTCATCAAACACAAATCATAAGATGAAATTTGGTGAGTTTGAAAATATTCCTGTTCAGTGAGGGACCTACCAACAATGTTGACAGATGATAGTTTAGGATAAATGTCAGCAATGTTTACGCCTGACAAGGGACTAAGGTCAAAAATAAATGAACAGCTCCATAAATCAAAAAGGACCAAAAAAAAAAAAAAAAGAACCCAAACAAAACAAAATAAAACAAAATCCAGGAAAACAAATAATAACATGAACAAAAGATAAAAACAAGGAATTCAAAAAGTCAAAATAGTTAACGAAATTGATAAGATGCTCCAATTTTCCACTAATCAGATAAAGTCAAGCTAAAATGATTAGATATCATTCAACTACTTATCAGACTGGAAAAAATTAGAAAGATAATATTATGTACTGAATTGTGTCCCCCCTTTCTCTGCAGTTAATACATTGAAGACTTAAACCTCCAATGTGATTGTATTTGGAGACAGGGCCTTAAAGGAGGCAATTAAAATTAAATGAGGTAATAAGGGAAGGGGAGGCCCTAATCCAATAGGACTGGTGTCCCTATAAGAGACACACCAGAATGCACTCTCTGTGTATACACAGAGGAAAGGCCATGTGAGATACAGCAGGAAAGTACCCATCTGCAAGCCAGGAAGAGGTTTCACCAGAAACCACCCTTATGGGCATCTTGATCTTAGATTTCCAGCCTCTGGAACTGTGAGAAAATGTCTGTCTGTTGTTTAAGCCACCCAGTCTGTGGTGTCTTGCTATGGCAGAACAAGTAGACTGATACAGATGGATACTATTCAGTGTTGAGAAATATGGGGAGACAGGTATACTCATTTATTACTGGAGTGAGTGTAGACTGGCACAGCTATTCTGGAGTGGAATCTGGCAGTCTTTAAATTAAGTTTTTGAGTTTGCATTTGCCTTAGGGCCCAGTCATCCACCTTCAGGGTATATCCCAGAGAAATTCTTCCACAGGTCCTAATGGGGACACATGCAAGGATGTTCATGTCGGTGTAGTTTATAATGGTCTACAGAAAACTCAAGTCTCTATCCCTAGGAAAATGGATCTCATGGATCCATCTCATGGAATCTCGTGGATACATCTCATGGCATCTCGTGGATACATCTCATGGCTTCTCATGGATACATCCGTAAGTCTGAAGCCAGAGATGTCAATAGCATAGTGTCCAGTGAAACCAGTCAAAAACAATGAGATCTATATGGCAATACCATTTACATAAATCAAAACACCATGTGTTGAAAAGGGGAATGGAGGTGCAAATAAAAGAAAAATAACATAAAATCAAATAAAAGAAAGGTATTGCCATGATTCATGATGATAATGATGTGCTGTGAATTGGTGTATGATCATCTCTACCTCAAATGTCTGTTTTGAGGTCTAAGAAAAAAGGAAGAAAAGAGAGTAAATGATGGACCCAAGGTCCCTCAGCAAGTCACGATGATAATGATGTGCTGTGAATTGGTGTATGATCAACTCTACCTCAATCGTCTGTTTTTGAGGTCTAAGAAAAAAGGCAGAAAAGAGGGTAAATGATGGACCCAAGGTCCCTCAGCAAGTCAGTGGTGAAGTTCACATGATGTCTTTCCTACCTTCCCTGTGACAGTGGGCAGAGCATGGGCTTAACTTACTTCTTGCCAGGGTAGACTTGCTGTCCATGTGGGCCTTGGCCAGGCCAGGCCAGGGCTGCCTATGCCATGCCAAGAGCAAGAATAGCAAGCTGAGGAGGACCAGGAGTCTCCAGAGTGGAGGCATCTTGGGTTCTGGGATGTGCGGGTGTCAAGAAAGGTCAGATGGTACCCAGGCAGATGGCTGCAGGTGTGGACTCTGGGATGGATGGACTCATGGTTTTCTGTGGGAAGATGACACCAGAGTTGGCCCCCAGCATGCTGTGGGGAGGTGTTGTGATGGGCTCAGGCAGCTGCTCACATGGTAAATGCAGCAGGTATAAACCTGCGGGGAGGGCAGGGCTCCAGTAGGAGGCCTTGTTGCTAGGAGACGTCCGGTAGAACCCACTGTTGTGTCATCCAGCAGGAGTGTTCTCCACTGGGAGAGGCTGGATGTTAGTGACTCTTCAGAGAATAAATGAATGAATGAGTGAATGGGTGAAGATGGCTAATCCCAGGCTCTTCAAATGGACTAGGACTTTCTTAAGGAAAAGATCATCCTCAAAGCCTACCATGATGCTTGTTTTCTAGAAACTAAGTGCTAGTGAATGTTTGTTGGGTGGCTAAATGACAATATATGAATAAGTGAGGATAGCTTATCTCTGAATCCCCCACCAAATTATCAGTTTCTTGAGGGTAGCTGTGAGTCTAATTAATCCTCATGTGTCCAGTGCCTCCCATGTTTACCATGTGGTAGTTACTAACAAAAGCTTGTTAAATGAAATGAATGAATGAATAATTGGCTGGCTGGAAGAGGGTTTGTGAATAAGAGTTATAGGTGGGGGACAGAAAGTCTTGAAGCCAAAGAATTAAATATATCTTGTTGCTTTGGGGTTGGGGGTCAGAGAGAATTCAATTCAAACCTCCCTGTCCTTACCATCTTAAGAAATGGCACCATAATCCATCCAATTGCTCCAGGCCCAGCCCTTGGATTCCCCTTGACTCCATTTTCCTCATCTCCCACAACCCATCTCTTAGGAAATCCTGCCAATATATCTAACAACTCCTCCTCAGCCACTGTCTTGGCCTGAACTATTGTGGGGGTGTCTTATGTCATCTCCTGGTTTCTATTTCCTTGCCCACCTACAATCTCTTCCACACAGCAGCCTGAGCAACCATTTAAAGACATAAATCAGACCATAGCATTCTGCTTAAAACCCTCTCAAGTTTCCCATTATACGCAGAGCAAAAGCCAAACTCTGAGATGCCTCCCTGGCCCTGAAAATTCTTCTGGCATTCTCTGTGACATCACCTGCTAGCACTCTGTCCCTTGTCTATCACCCTGCAGCCACACAGGCCCCAGGAGTCTGGGCCACACAATTCAGCTGCTGTGAGCTCTGAGACAAAGGTGCTTGTCACTCTCCGTGCTCTTACCCACGCTGCAGAGGATGTGCAGGGTCTTCTGAAAACTTCCCAGAAGCCCAGGGGCCATCCTTGAGCGCTCGGCTTCTGGTTTCATAAGATATCCTACCGAAAGAATTAGTTCAGCATGATGGCTTTTCCAATTTGAGGTCCTCTCCCAGGGTTCATGCTTCCCTTGGGGATGTTTGTAGAATATCAATTACTTTGAAATGTACTTTTCTAGTCTTCCTGGTCTTGTGTAATCAGTTGGGATTTTGTTATTTTTGGTCAAGAAAATTAGAGAAGAGGGGGCACTGTTGGGAAAAACAAACCTGTTGTCCTTGGTTCTTTTGAGGTCTGAACTTGGCGGGGGAGTTGGATTGTCAGTTTCACCCTCAACACAGGTTGTGGTTCTCAGGGCCACTATGTCTAAAGAAATAACGCTGCGTAGACTTTCAGAGCCTGGTTTCAGGAAGGCACAGCTTGCAGATAGGTGCCCTGGCTTTACAGCCAGCTTGATGCGTGAGCACTTGGCAGTTAAGAGTATGGGCTTCTGAGTGGCACAGACCAGGATGGAATCCTGGCTCTCTCTCAGCAGACTCAGTTTCTAGGTCTGTAGAAGGAGGGTGATAATAGTGCAGAGCTCAGGGCTGTAGTGAGGATTACAAGGAATCACAGGCAGGGCAATGCTCCAAATATGTGTTACTATAATTGCTGTTGTCCTCATCCTCACCTCTCTGAGCTCCAGCTTCCTCACCTGTAAACCAGGGAAGCTGGCAGAGTGAATGCCACCAAGTACGAAGAACATAGAGATGGTGCCTGGGACACCAGAAGTGCATAGCGAGTCAAGGAGTCACCTTTGGAGCACATATGCAAGTGATAGCATGGGCTGTGTGGCAATTCCAGCAGGCAGGAGTTATGACCAGGGGGGTGCTGCATGGCTGGGGATGCTGAATGGCAACCATGGCCATGATGGTCCTGAGCTTAGGGGGAGCTTGTAGATATCTGATCAAATGGTGGGCTTTCCTCTTGTTCATTCAAGGCACAAAGTAGCTAAAGTCATTGAATGCTGACTAAGTGCCAGGTGCCATGGGCTCTAGGGATCCAATGGAGAGTGGCCAGGCAGGTTCCTCATCCTCATGAAGCTCATATATCCATGGGAAGACTGATGATCTTCGACTGTCATATGGTTATGAAGTGTGGCCTTGTGTGAAGAGGAGGTGGGAAGTGTTATGCAAGGGCACACTGAAGGGAAATCAGGCCAATAAGGAGGGTAGTAATCAGAGAAAAGCCCTCTCCGAGGAGATGGAGTTTGAGCTGACATTTCAGGGAAAGGCTACAAGTTAGCTGGGTGCCCTCCCTGCCCAAAGAGGGCACTGGAGGAATGAGGAACGCTCCTCCATAAGCAGCTACCTACAAAATTGCCTCCAAGGATAGCAGTGCTGACATTTATTTGGTGGGCCTCAGTCACTGCACTAAGCCTGTTGTGTGTGATTTCATTCCACCATCATGCCACCCATGAGGGGATGGGGACTACGAGAAACCCAGTAGCCTGTAGAGCTCCCAGCCCAGACAAGGCCGAGCTGCCATCCCAGCAGGCTCTCTTGCCCTTCCCAGAGTGGTGAGATGCTGTTTCCTTAGAAAGATGGAGCTGCCAGACACTCCAAACCTCATCCATTACCAATCTCTTTTACTATTTTAAATAATTTTCCTTAGAACGAGCTTCTTTACTTTTGGAGGGTGGAACATTTTGAAAATGTGATGAACACTTTGGTTTGTCTGTTCAGGAAAAAAATGTACTTAATTAAAAAATGTTGTTCACAGTAGCAGGTCCTCCTAAGGCATGTGTATTGACACAGGTTAAAACTCCTGCTGCTCAGGGTAATTGGCTTTCAAGAAGTTTGCTTGGAGAAAAATTTATATATTAACCACTTATTCAACCATCCTTTCCTGTGGGCCAGACATTGTGCTTGACTCTGGGCAATGAGACATTTTGCTTCTCTAGTAGCTTATAATCTGGTGAGAATATCAGAGCAAGATGAAATAAATAATACGTGAAATAATTACAAATTGTATTAAAGGGAAAAGTGGGGCAAAATTGGCATAGCAAGGAGGCCACTCTAGACAAGGGCTGGGGAAGGTCTCTCAAGAAGGCGACGTTTGAACTGAGTCCAGGAGGAGGAGATGGAGTTGGCTTTGGGTGTAGATAGAGGGAAGGTGTGCCTGGCAGAGGGAACCGGAAGGTCAAAGGCCTTGAGGTGGGAAAGGGTTCAGCCGGTTGGGAATGAAGGATTTTTTTTGGAGGAATGAAGGAAGATGGGTGTGGCTGAGTCTATTGGATGAGAAGTTCCCATGTGCCCCAGACACACCTTGGCTCACGTCCATGGCTTCAGGGGGGGGGCAGTCCAGTGCAAGGAGGCAGGAGCCTCCGCTGGCCAAACCAAAGGCTGTGCAGGTGTTTGCACACGAACACCTACCTCAGGTGGCCAGGTCACAGGGGCGGCCACTTTGCCCCACTCCCTGGGCTTTAAGACAGCTCTAGGTCCCCAGCCAAAAGTGGAGGTACTCAAACTCCAGGGGGCAGCAGAATGAGTGGAAGCATAAAATGTGGATTCCTGTGCCCCATTTTTGAATCTCAGAGTGGGGTGGGCCGGGTTAGTCCATTCTATGAGCATCACTCTTCTAAGGAACGGGATTCATTGTTTATTTAAGCATTCATTTATCCCATCCTTGGTAGAAATAGTCCTTTGTAAGACTAGAGACTGGAACTTTAACCCAAAGACAAAAATGGGGGTGGGGTGGGAGGGGTGTGGGGTTCCTTTCTGAATGGAATATCTGGTTTGACAAAGGATAATAACACCTGTTCTGGGTCCTGGGGTGTCCTGGAGAGGTGGAAGAGGTATTTTGTGTTCTTGGAAAATAGGATAAATTCAGAGCCAGTATTTTATATCTCCCAAAATTCTGTGTATTTTTCCACAGTGCACCTTGATTCTAATAAATATCGACAGGCCAATTTGAGAGAGAATTGAAGGAAGACTTACAGTATATGCTATGGCAATATTGCATAATCCCTTCCTTCTCTTCAACCAAGGGATTGCTGATTCTGAACTGGCTTTTGACTGGAAATTAGGTGAGAGGCTCTGACTCTCCATTTTGGCAATCCAATTCAGGTTTTGGGATTCTAAACCTGGAGATCTCCCTGATCAGTAAATATTTAGTAGGTAGACCATCTATTTCCTTTATAGGGAACCTGTGATCAATTAGTAATTGCCAAATATTTTGATTATTAATTCATCCTTGCTATTCATTACAATGAACATGCTATCTTGTTTCTCCCAGTTACACCCTGCCACTTGTTCTTTGTTACTCTTATATCTCATCATCCTCACTGAAATCAGGGAGACCCTCTCAACAGCAGCATTTCCAAGCAACAGAAAACAGCCCTCATAGAGCTTTTCAAGGTTGCTGATGCTCTCCTCACTAATACATTTCTCAATTTCTTAGCCAAGGGATTGTCCATTGGACTCTCTCAGGAGACATAATGGTAGGGGTGCATGTGTTTGCAAAAGATAAATCCACTCTAAAAGTCCCATTTTCCTAAGCCTTTCAATTTTTTTTTTTACATTAAACCTGGAAAGTTCTGGGATCTCAGCCTCACTAAATGAAGGCCATTGTTGAGTTCAATTTCCAGTAAACAACACAGTAAACTATTAAAACCATTTTCAGCTCTGAGATCTAATATTAAAT